GCTGCCAACACCGTCGCAACTTTTGACTAATACTACCTTCCTGTGTCTATAATGCGGATTATAATTCGTATTACTATAATCCTATGATTTCACTCGCGTTTAATTAAGCAGTTATCTTTATTAGCTATATAAATTACATATCTTTACACGATGGCACACTGACATTTCAAAGCCGATCTAAGTCAAAGTAAAAGTATTTTTTTGCAACTAAGTGTACATAAATTCAGATGTTACTATTATAATAGGTACTTATTAGTTGGAGCCTTTTCTAAGCATTGTAATGCTGAGCTTAACAATATTGAACATAGTATATTTAATTATTTACATTCATAAACAAAATACCCATAATCAATCTAATCTATGTACATTTGTATATAAATTAATTGATTTTAGGTTTTATGTCACTAAAATGATCTAAATCTGAGACTAAAATGAAAATATTGTTGGTGAACTTTTAAATAGAATCTATATTTAAATTCTAATTGGTCACCTTTTTTTATAGAAATACATAAATTAGATAGACAGCTAGAAATAGAACATTCGTTGTTGTACAAATAATTTTAGACGGTGTCTAAACATAATTAGTGTTTTCTTAATACAAATACTAGATAGTTTTAAATAATTCAGGATTAATTCTTGGGAAAGTTAACTAGGCTTTTTAGTTATAGGTAACGGTTTTTTAGTTATATTAAAAGGTTATTCCTCACTCAACCAAATATGAGACTGTCCTGCTGTTCCCAACTGCCGAACTTGAGGTCGTGAGTTCGGTTCCAATCTAGGACAAATAATTGTGTTATGAGAATGTTTTTTTTTGTTTGTGGGTGTAATCTTCTTATATATAAAATTCTCGTGTCACAATGTTCGTTCCCGTACTCCTCCGAAACGGCTTGACCGATTCTCATTAAATTTTGTGTGCACATCGGGTAGGTCTGAGAATCGGCCAACATCTATTTTTCATACCCATAAATGGTAAGGGTGACCCATCCCTAATTATTTTTTTTTGCAATACAACGTTTGCCGGGTCAGCTAGTTTATCTATAATGTTTATGTGTTTAGAAATATATAATGTCCATATCATAGTACATGATCTATCTCATTTTCTCTCTCATCATGTCTAGCCCATCATTTTTACAGGCAGTCATTTACCATCAGGTTACCCATCTGCTCCTTCGCCCATATACCATAAAAAAAAGGCGAAAACGGTTGTTTACGACTGTCAATCTCAAATTTTGTAAGTTTTACTGTTTTCTGTGAAATATGGTTGAGTAGCTTTTTAACAAGATTATTATTTACGACTTTTGTCATGTATCATAAATTATATCCACTAAAGTCGCGTTGAACCGTTGAATTTATTTGTGATGAATTTTGCCTTGAGGTATTTAATGAGATTCCGTCTCCGAAAACTGTTACTGAGATTATTTTTTTAAATCTCATTGATGGCTACAAATTAAGAAACGTGCCCGATAGTCGACTATAGACACATCCCTATTACAAAAGACCCACGATGTGAGTTTATTAACTTGTGCTTTGTTTAAGTTTATAAAAAAAAGGCGTCCTTAATTACAATACAGAGTTGGTTGGGGTGATACTCAAAAGATGGAGAAACATCTTCGTCTTTTATTTTCTCATGTTAAATTTAATTAAACAAAAACCAAAGAGAGCCTATGCCAAAAAACCAAAATTTTATACATTTAAACGTAGTTCAAATTTAAATTCGTCAGAATGGGCATACCTAGTATATTTACCCTTCAAATCAAAAATTACGATAACAAATATAAATCATCAGGATTACAACTTAATAGTGTGTTCTAAAATAACTATGAAGAGTTCACTTACAATATTTCATACAATGTCCTATTCATAACAACTACAAATACCGATAATATTACAACCGGAAACACGTAACAAGCTTATCCAACGTCATCCATTTAGTAACTTTTTAATTTATAACCTGTCATAAAGCAATGCTTAAAGTACGAGTATACATTCCATTCGGCCTTGTATGGCAACTCATTGCATTTATTAGTAAAATAATCCTATAATTATGCAATGCTTATGAGTAAGTAACCTCTTTGGTTATTGTAAACATATAACAAATTAACTGTACCAAATAGTAGGATTTAATTGTTATGGCTGTACTTTAACTAGTGTATTTTTGGGTTAATTAATAGTTATGGTAACTATGGTTGGCGACGAAAAATAGCTTTAACGACGAGTATAACATTCGGCAATATAATGTTATGTAGGAAGTTCCATATAACAACAATGCTGTTAATAATCAAAGATGTAATGTATCTCTTAACCAGAAACTCTTTGGCATCGAATAAAGTATACACTGACTGACCTGTTGGTGTAGTGGTTAGTGAACCTGACTGCTACGCCAGAGGTCGAGGGTTCGATTTCCACCCAGGACAAATAATTGTGTGATGAGCACGGTCATTTATTGTGTCTGGGTGTACTTTATTTGTAATATGTATGTATTTAGAAGTATTTAAATATGTTTTTCAGCAGTCTAGTTACCATAGTACAGGCTCTGCCTAGTTTGGAATCAGACGGCCGTGTGTGAGATGTGTGAAAATATTATATGTGAAATATTATATTATACAAGAATATGTAAGCTTTATTGTCAACCAATTAAATTAAATACTAACAATAAAAATTCACTTTGTTTTATACAGCTTTAGGTAAATTGATTGAAAGACGATAACTTCTTAGTTGGTGTGTTGGATAAACTATTATTTTAGTACGTATAGTCTTATGTATAAGAATTGTGAGATGTCACTCAACTGTCAACCACACCTTTTTAAAAAAGGTGTCATACTGAAGCCGAAACAGGTAACGCTTCCCATAGTTTATTAAAAAAAAAGATCTATAGAATAGGAAATTTAAAGTAATTTAATCGGTCAAAAAAGCAAATTGCGACTGACAGTCGACACACCGCAGGACAGTAAGCTAACAATTTATTGCTCCATCAGGACAGAGAACGAATCGACTAAAACGTACAATGGCCCTCTTTACGAAATAAAACGTTTACAGATAATGACTAGAAGAGTATTAATAGCTCGCTTTAGGAGATAGCACACCGACCGACATAGACTTTCGAAAAAGTTATTCAAAGGAAACAGTTCGATTTTTAAATTCGGACTAAAGGGTTTCGCCGCACCACAGGCGCCGCTTGTATTGCCATCAGAAAAAAATCAAGGACAACAAAAAAGTGTAAAGCGGACCACAAAATAGACATAATTTATACTTGAATTAACGATCCCATTGTGTGTTTTCGTTGTAATTTTTATTTACGATTGTTTACCCTATTTTATGTTTTAATATGACACCATATTTATGGGTGTTTGATTCTTGTCTGTTGGAATTTGATTTTTTCTAAGGGATGTTTTAATTTATGGGGTAGTTTGTATCGACGGTTTGATACGAGTGGCTTGTTTTAGGACCTTTTTAGGATTTTTATGGATTTGGCTTTTTTCTAGAGTAGTGAATCAAATAATTATTATTTTGTGGGCAATAAATTAATCAAAGTATGTTTTCATTAGAAATAAAATTTAGTTTTAAATGGCCATAATATGCATGTAGCAGCTATAAATAGCGTTTCATTTTTAACTTTAATTGAATTAAAAAATTACTTTTAAGAAACTATTTGAGAATCACTATTTAATTTTAATTCATTTAGAAATCCTTACTTTTTTAAAGAAATTATTATCAAACTAAATCTTGTTTTAAAAGTAATAAAAAATTTACAAGATGTGTGAACAGGCGGTTCCTGGGCTAGATCACAAGTGTCTTGTCACACTCGTAAAGAATTAAGAAATAACTTGTTTTAAATAAAACCACTAAAACACGTGTATACATATCGACAATCACATACTTTAGTGCTTTTTTATTAGCCATGGAATTTCCGAAAGGACGACTAGGGGCAGTTTATGACTCTCAATAGATTGGGAGATTATAATTCGATATAAATTTAATAATGATTAATAATGATATCGAATACAGTGTCGTATTCGAATACGTACGACATCGTAGAGCGGCTGCTCTATTCAAATTAACCCAATTCAATACTTATGGAAAAACGTCTTATTGTACAGAACAAAGACATTCTTTTAAGATTACTTTTATACTATTACAAAGTTTACTAGACCTTTTTTAAAGCACAAACTTAAACCAAAAGACATGATGCTTTTTAGAGGACTTTTAACAATTTAAGTGTACGAAAAGCAGCACAGAATTCTCGCAAAATACGTCTGCATCTAGGTTTCCATAAAGGAAAACAACGTGCGCATCTCAGGACGCCCGACAGAAGTGATAACTTAAACTAATCTAAGTTGAGCTATTTAATATTGAAATTGTTTAACTTAAGAAAAGCTTGGGTTATTACTTAAATTTTATGTGAAGCGTCTGTCCGAAATACGGCTAGCACTGTGGGTTAGAGTGAGAGAGGAGGAGCCTGCCTACCGCATCCGTATGCGTGACAGAAAGCGAAGCCAGACAGACTTGCACCGTAACGCGTTACGTAACGAAGCGATTTACCCTCCCATAAGAAGTTATCACTTCAAAACGTTTTATGGTTTTGCTACTCACAACTACAAATGAAGATAAGTACGATAATTGTGCACGGTCAACATCTAACCAAGAATTAGTACATATGCGCTTAAAAGTAGAAGCTAAACTATACCAAGAAAGGGCCATTGCAACTTACCAACAGATTCTAACCAGGAAAGAGCTTTCTTCTTTATGGGAAGAAACATGTAATTTTACTATAAGATCAGAATACACAACAATGCAAGTACAGAAGATTTGCTCTTCAAAATCATTTAATTAAATAGCGACTCTTGCATCGCGAATATAAAGTTCAATTCAGGACGCACAGCGCTAATTATGCAGTTAAAGTCATCTAGAAATTGGCTCTGTTTTATTACGTAGGTAACTCATATCTCTTTAATTGACATTGAGGTTACCTTTTCTTTAAATAATAGTTCAATTAAAAAGCGATGTGGCTGCCGCAGCATCCTACATTATATCTGAAGTACGAGGTGAGCCTGGCCTGCTATAAATTAGACCGTAACAAATTTGACTATACTTATAGCATAGAAAAACTTAACTATTGTCAAGCTCTGATGTGTATTTAAAAGTGCGATGGTGACTAGCACCAGGTCTGGTCCCTCAGAAAATCTCCGACGCTATAAACACCCACAAGCAGATTATGTACTTAAAATTTTAATGATAGTTACTACATGTACATTCAAGATACAAAAAGCAAAAACAATCAAAAGCCACAAAACATTTCCCTTAAAATATTCTTAGTAGAATTTTTTCACCATAAAAAGGGCTACTCTCATCCTTGTGCTAAGATAGCAACCTAATATGGGAGTTCTTAAATCCCCATAAACCGAAAGCGTTAGTGATGACAATGAAGTAACGGGTCGTAAAGTTTTTATCTCTTCATTCCCTTTTATTTCTTTTTTATATCCTTTGTTTTAACGTGAACACAATCAGTATAAACCGTTTGGCTAAGTGTGCACGGCCGACCGCCTCAATCGTATCTCTAGTGGACGTTCCAAATATAAACAATAAAAGTTAAATTTGATTTAAATTAGTCGATTTAGTGAAGCGAGTTTGTAATTCGATATTAGCTATAATAGTCATTTCATTAGACATAAATTACAATTCTTTTTTTTTTATTTGAATTCAATTACGTTGCAATACTAGCAGGCTCAATTTCTTTTATCCAGGCTTATCCTGTTTGTACATATATCTAAAGGTTTTAACTTATTAATTCAATTATATAGAGTAGCTAACAATTATCGATTTATCTTAACAATATTAAATTAATTAAATTATGTCATACATAACCAAAGCTCATTTATATAGCAAATATATTATCATATATTTTTTAGCAATAAAAACATTAGAGATAAAATATGTATAAAATTTAATTGTGGATGCTATGCCCATAGGTTGCGTTCAAAAATCCATATAAACATTTTTGCATAATGACGTGATCACTATCCTAATAGCTTCCGATTTTATCAGAGCCATTTTATGCTAGTTAATTTTGAGTTAAGGTAAAAGAATAAAGCGATTAATCTAACCGCGGTGGTCTGCGGTGACCTATTCTAAAAATTAAGAATGAAATTTCAAAAACTTCGTGACTGTCGTCGTTCAGAAACACATCATTAAATATCTTAAGAGGCGCCGCGTTCGCATAAATTAACACTAGATTCACAGACGACAAGCTAGACGGGCCACAAATAATTGTATGATGTCAAAAAAGCCCTTGTTTTCGGTGAAGGTTGACGGAATCCCATTAGAATACCAGGAACTGTAAAACCGACCGAATCGATCTTGTTATCGATCGCAATCAATGAGTTCTGGGAAACACTAACGATTTGTCCTGGCAACCCTACCAATGTGTCATGATCTCGTCCGAGATTTTTGGAGGGAACGATGCAGTCCATTGTTATTTTTTAATTTTATCATTAAAAAGGTTTTATATTCATTGTTAGGTGGCTCGGACATCGGGCACGCCGTTATTGCGGCGGTAAGACCCGTTATGGAGGATCGGCTCGAGAGACATCATGGAACCCTCTCATACCGGCTGACGCAGGAGATCACTGGGAAAGGATGCTTCGGAGATCACCTGTATCTGATCCGCAAGAAGCCAACGCCTGAGAGCCACCACTGCGATGGCCGGACCGTGGGCACGGCGCTCCACAAGCTGTTAGAATGCCCGGCGTAGGTGGAGCAAAGGCATAACCTCGTGGCGGCCGTCGGAGTGGGATTTCTCTCGCTCGGTAACATGATTGCCGCCATGGTGCGTGGAACTCCGCCATATCCTTCTGCGAGCAGGTTATGCTTGCGAAGGAGATGGCGGCGCGGAACCGGGAGAGGTTCAGAACTCTCCCGGCCCGCCAGGCCCGAGAAGAGGCCAGGTACCGCAGATGGCTCAGGCGCCGGAGGTCGCAGAACGACCTCCGTCCTCCATAAGCGCAGGCCTGAGGGTAACAGGTCAGGCCATCTGTCGCTGCAGCAGATGGCCCGTAAGCCGTAGATGGCCCGAAGTAAGTCGGGGTACCAGGGCTTTCCTATCTAGGGTACCTGTATATACCTGGTTACCTGGTATACCTGGTTCCCCGGCCACTGGTACCTGGAGACGGCGTGAGGTTTTTGGTCGGTTCGAGTCCGACATAATCACCCACTGGTTGATGGTATCCGAGGGGAGTTCACACAGTAGCACAAAAAAAGAAAAAAAAAGGTGGCTCGGACTTTCCTATAACAGTAAGTTCGTTACAGGTATTCGACCCTGAGGTGCTCCAACTCTTGCTTGCACGCTCATTTCAATCGCATATTATATCAATATATCCCATTTCTTCCATGGCCTCCCTTTTTTACAATTTAAAATTGGGACATCGTGAAAGATAAAGATAGTTAATCTTTATCTTTCATGATGTCCCAATTTTCCTATTATTAAGTCCAAGTGCGGTATTGACGGCTATATATACTTGGTTATTATATATCTGCCTACCCTACTGCGGATATAGACGTGAGTGTTAGTTACGTGTAAAAAAGGGGCTACTCATTGTAATATTACAAAAAAAAATATGAAAATAAACTCATTTTCGCATTAAGAATATTTTTTAGAATTAACTTTATTCCCATAATTAATCTGAAAACATTTCACGAAGGTTTACATTGAAAAACTTTATAGTTTTTTTTTAATACTAGTAAACTATTAGTAAATATTGGTATTACGTAAACTTTTTAATCGCTTATGCTGAACATCGGCTCTCTTAAAATTATTTTATTTATTTATTATATAATTTTATTCATAGTAAAGTAGTTCTTCTATAGTTCTTTGTGAAGTCTCAAACACAAGACAAGCAAACTATTACAAATGTAGGTAAAACTCATGAAATAAATCTTATTACATCATAATAATAACAATGAAAGACATATACAAAACAATGATTATCTTAGAACATGTCTGGTGACAAGATAGATATGTATAAGCCTGACGCCATTTTATCGTAGATCCTTAATTTGCATGAGATTAAAGCAACAATGTTTATTGTTTCATTAGTATGTCATAAGTGTAGTTTGCGTACTTTGAGTAAAGTTAATATTATAATAGACTGAGGTTTATTAAGTATAATTGCTTTATAAAATAATAATTTAAAGGATCACGACCTTTCAAGTTACCCTTGTGTCCTCAACTGCATCAATAAAATATTAACGGAGAGTATTTAGAGAAAGAGGAAAAACCACAAACATAACAATTAATTAAGCAAAAACTACTTGTATAGAATCTTCGCTAACGCTCCAACTTGAAACCCGCGTTTTCTGAGGCCTTGTTCTAAATGCTTTGTAAAAGTTAGGAACATACGTAGACACCAGTTTAGTTTTACACTAAATTTACATAGGAGTATATTATGACATTCTTGGGCACCACAGCTTATTCACGCTAGCAATACTAAGATTATAAGTGTTAAAGGAAAAAGTTTGACTTTGAAATGCATAGGCAGAGATTATCACTCAACTTCGTAATTGAAAATTAATTCTCTGTACGCTATTCTCGCTACTTGCATACTAATCCATTGTCCCCGCTCTATTCCCGCTAAAAAGTGTAAAATTCCTGTCACGTCAAAATAAAAGTTGTCAATGTCATTTTAAAGCACGACTGACTCCCCTGTATAAATCTGTCTCGACTAGGCTCCTGTAATTGACATATTTATTGCAGAATAAATAACTCGGGAGACGCGTAAATTAGAATTCAAGACTTTCTAATTTAACATTTAGTTTGCATGTTGCTATTATCCGATTTCAGACAAACATAGGGAGCGGGGTGGCGTTCTTTTTTTAAAACTGTAGTTGGGTGGTTTGGACAAGAATGGCTGTGAAATAAATTAATGACCACATTATAATAGCATCGGGTTTACAGCTCATAAAATTACTTATTTTTATTAATTTGTTTTGCTTCTTCTAGAGGTGAAGGTAAGTATCATTTAAAAAAAAAACACAATAATTTGCAAAATTTTATGGCAATTAAATAACTGCAGTTGTAGATGCATCGATGTTCCATCTAAGCAATTTGTTCATATAACTCGATAAGGGTCGTATCTTATTGGGTAGTATTTTTACACTTTAGGAAATAGGGTACTACTTTTGAAACTGAAGAGTAATGCCAAAAGAGAGCTATTGGTTGTGTTGGCAACGCACTCGTGACATGATTGCTGCAGCAATTTATTAGCGCCGATAAAAGTCAAAACTATTTAATTAGTCGTTTGCTATCTTAGTCACATAAAAACCTAAATGTTCACAATCATGCACGTCATCTTGACATTTGGTTCTACAATTTATCAAATAAATAACATGGAAATCTTTGTCCTTAGTAATTTACCTACCATCATAATTTTAAATAAAATGTAGAATCTTTATTTAGTAAGTATTCTTAATGCATTTCCATATACTGATACGAATAAAAGGAATTTCTTTACTATGTTGCCAACATCTTAATAACCCACACAGTGGGTGGATATGACCGAGTACACAACAAAAAAAAATTTTGAACTTTATTACTTTGTAAGTGACAAACTAAAGGACGTGTCAATAAGGATACTAAAATTTAATTTCGTCATATTGAATCCTTTACAAGGGACACGAATCGGATCTTCTTTAGCGATTGTTTTACTCCATAAAGATCGTACGCGATAACCCTATCTTTGTTAGTGTAGCACAAACTATCGACATTCGATCATCGCTATCGATAAATCCACGATCGTAAAATATTTGACCCTCGAGGTTGGCACGATTTATCGATTAGAAAATATATGTAAATATTATGAGTTCGTTATTTACATGTTGTGAGGAATCATTGAATTAGTATAATCTTGTTAGTCTTGTTTGAAAGCGACTAAGTTTGAAATATTAAATTGCATGCGTACATGTATAATGCATGCTTTCACATAAACTAGCCAGGAACTTACCTTTATTCAGTCATATTGAATAACTTAGGGATCTTTTCATAAGCGGACAGCAAGTAAAGTTATCAAACCTTGACTGTACTTTACGAGAAACGCTGTACAGTGAATATTTACTGCTTCTTCGTACTTTACCACTCAAGTTGTATTATGAAATAAAGAGTAGCGTCGCCTACAATATTTTACATTGCCCGATACAACCTCAGAATTAATACCCAATTAAGTGTAAATACCAACAAATCTAACTTTCTACTTGAATAAGCTTATCTTTAATTCAACTTCATCGATAACCAGATAACCAACAATCAATCTCTAGTCTTATCTACAAACCAATTCTCACACACACGGCCTAAGAACCAAAGCACTAAACGGAACTGTAGCCATTATCAAAAATAGTTTTAACCCTCGATAAGATAACATAATATGACGGTTTCATGGAGCCGCGATTTAATTGACAGTAACGTATGCCACCTCCTTTTAATTAAACTATTAGTAACGGTTAATATTGTCTTTGGTCGGCAGATGATTGGAAAATAAAACTTTTTTTAATGAAAGGACCTCTCTGATAGAGCTGTTCCATAATTAAATATTGATGTTCGATCGATTTGTTAAATGTTCTTTGAGAACGATTAAAAACAAAGTTTATTATGGCGTTTACGACTTCTTAGTATAGATGGCAACGGGCATGTTGAAAAGTCCAAGGTTTTTGGCATTTGTTATAGAATTGTTGACTTATTACCTTCATTAACACAATAACTTTCTATAATATTTATTTAAAAATCTCAATTCCTTTTAATGGTTTTAAGTATTACAATAATTATATTAAAAATATAACCTAGCACATCTTCCTTAATTAAAATTATATATATTTGATATTTTGAGATATTTGTTATTAAAATATTTATAATTATAGATCTCATTGTCTACGACGTTAGAATTAAATTGGTGATGCATTCATTATCTCAAAGGTAACATTTTAACAAAAATAACTTTAATTTAAAAGATTATAACGAACATTCCTTACAGTTACGGAAAAAGCTGAACTTTCATTACGAAAGTTCAGAACATACGGAAACGCAATCCATGCATTGTGCTCAAGCTATAAATGATTATTTACAAGCATTGCATAACTGTTGCACGTACATTTCATGTAATTGTCGGCAATAACATTCAAAACTCATTATTAAAATAAAACCTAGCTGTTTGCTCGCAATTACCAGTACACAGCATTAGCCGTCATTTATGATTAACAGTAAGACCGCACGGAGTTTCTTGCAAGTAGAAATGAAATTTAGTCATACAGCTCACGGGCAAATAGCGACCTCTAGGGGTTTATGGTTTATGGTTTTCGCGCCAAAAACAACAATGGTTTTCCCATTTGAGAAATAGGCGGTCAATATCCACTATTGGTGCTAGTTATTGTTTGTGTTTATTAAGTAAGCACATAGGGCAAGACTGAAACAAAACTAATAGAATAATAAAAAAATGAATGGTCTTACTATGCGTTCCAGAAAGTATCCTAACTTTGAATTTAAGATATAAATATTGATGAATAGGGATTTCTACACAATGTTTCATAGAATAAGTATCTTACTTCATGGGTGGTTATAATAATATTTATGTTTGCATAATATTGCAAATGATATACTTTTTTCTCTTTTTGTGTCCCCACCCCCCACCCCTCTCACCCTCAGTCTCTGTTGCTGGTGAGACATCAACCACTTAATGCCCGCAGAAGGTATAGCAAGGAAAAGTGGGGAAGGATAGGTTTAATGGGATGGAATTGCGCCTGGGTGTTACAGTTATCTCTGTTTCATAGGCAAGCAGATCTAGAACAGGCCGAGACCGAGACTAGGGGTAATAAATCCCCAAATTTGCCGGCTGTAATTTTAGACCCATTTATGTAATATGTAAGCAACCAGGTATATATATTTCTAAATAAACATACTTATATAATTCTAAATACATATAGATAAATTACACCCCGATACAAAACAAATGATATTGCTCATTACACAATATCTTTCTGGGTTTGAGTCGAACCTACGCCTTCTGGCCCAGGGTAGACGTCACGTCAGCTGCTTAATAGAATTAGAAGAAATCTGGTGCAGTGATAGATTATAGTCTGAAACGGCACTTAGACTTTTTTATCAAGGAAAAATTTATTGATAATATTTATTCTTAATGCGAACGAAATTACGGGTGAAACTAGTAGTAAATATATATAACGTAACCTATATTTAACATCACATCTATTTATAGTCTATTTAAGCGTAATAAAACTTACAGTGTGACCATAAATCAGACTGCTAAGTAATAGTCAGTGTTACCATAATATTTGACTAAAAGGGAGAAAGTGTGTAAAAATAATTTATATTCATTAGAAAATTGAAAGATATTGAATAGTCAACACTGCATATTCATGAACTAGTACTTATTCCATCGTGAAAGCGACTACGTTAGGAAATAAATTATAATCAGAAATAGCCCGTAAGACATACAGCATGACGTCAATAAATATCCAGAAAGTGAAGTTACCATTTATAAAATAAAAACAAACAATTGCGGTCCTCAAGATCCTATATTTTATTGCGGGTATTCAGTCAGACAAAATCACAATCCATCGAATAATAGTATAATTAAAATTAAATTAATTCCACCAGAGACCAATTTGTGTCGTATCCTCCGTATGTCTATGTTAATCCAGATCATTCATCGTAAGTTGGCGCTGCTATTGTAACCAATTTTACGCAAAGCACGCCTTAGCATACAAACTGGTGTATGAATAACATTTACTAAAGAACTTCCGATAGGACAAATTGCCAACTACATAAATCATTTGCCTAATAATTCTCACCCTGCAGCCGTAAGCCGCAGTAAGTTGCGGACTGCACCAGAATCAATTTAATGTGTACCGTATTATTTCCGATAATTTAAGAGGCATTAGTTCACCCTCCGGCTATTCACTTATACATATTTATGAATAAAACAACCAATTTGTATAGAGTGGAGCAACCAGTTCCAACTATAACGGCACAATAACTAGAGGATACTACGATCAGAAAGCCCCAATTTGTTCGATTGTCAAACCACCTCCTTGTTCGGCTGCTTTAACACACATAAGGAGTTTGAAGACAATTTGTAGACTAATAAATTGTTCCGATAATCTATTGTAGATTGTGACCTATGATTTTTATGTGTTATGGTACACGATCACTTTCTTTGCGAATGGATTTATAAATGCAATTCATTGATATTTTGATGCCGAGTAGGAACGAGAAAAAAAGAAAACCATAAAAAACTTGTACATAACTAGAAAAAGAGTATACCTTATGCTAGTTGAAATTTCAACAATTAATCGAATCTTTTCCATTGTTCCAGAAGGATCTCTCGGATGATTGCGTGTTCGAGGAATATATAGAGGAAAACAACTACAACACATACTCGCGGATACGCAACGGGAAGAAGACTTTCTTGGCTCTGGACAACAAAGGAAGAGCGAGGCGCACGCAGATACCCCTCAATCGGCCGCTGGGGAATCTGTCACCGTACGCCCTCACGCTCACCAGGCGTTGGGACGGGCCCAAGCAGTCACACTGCCCGCCGCGGAGACACCGCGGCAAGCTGAAAAGGGCTCCACCACGCCACAGGAACTGCCACATGCGGCTACAGAAACAGAACCTGCGGCACAAACGGAAGCACAAGAAGGCTAATAATCCGAAAAAAAAGCAGCGGCGTCCGAAAACGAGGAGAAAATACGAGAACGGAACGACGACCACGACCGAGGTGACGTGGGACGAGTCGACGATGTCGACTATGTCCACGACGACAGACGTCGAGTTTTTTCGGTCGGCGACCGCGCAGGAGGCGGTCGGTCGCGCGTGAGTCGAACGCTGGTCGCGGTCGGGGCAGCCGTTGCGCTCGCACACTAGCACCGTTCCACACTTACACGTGTAAGAATCTCTGTATCATTCCTAATATATTAGGACCTGACTACATGTCATTTACCGTCAGTCCTGAAATAATCGAGAGATAAGAAGAGAGGCAAGATATTTTGTATCTATGCAACATAATTTAAATTGACGGTAAATGATAATCGAATCATGTAGTGCAGGCCTAGTGTTTACAAAGTAACATCGCTCTCTTAACGAATGGCGCTCCAATTTAACTGTAAATAAAGTTGAACCAGTGACGCGTTCTTCAAACTATTTGTCCAAATTTATCTTCGTTCTTTCCTTTACTATAGTATATATGTACGAAACAAAATACTCATATGAGTATTGGCAGCGTCGAAGCTAAGTCGATACACGATAACGATCAACGAATGATATTATTCTACCAAAGCTACTGAAATTATCTATCTCAATTTATATTCCTAGTTCGCTTTAAAACGTAGGTTTATCGGCAAGATTCCAGTTGTTAGTTACGTTACTTGTCATGAAATTAACGTAGGTGGTAAATTATACTTTATTCGATAATTACTATAACATTGCTTTAAAATCGTCGAGATTATGGTTTGGTAAGGTGGAACTGTGTTAGGAGAAGGGAAAGGATTCCTGTCAATTAAAATTTAGCCTAAATACTTATCGTTTCGGAATCACTCTCGGTCCCGCTCTTTCGATCAATAGTTAATTCATTTACACGTGATTAATGATAATTTCTAATAGCATTAATTTAGAAATTGGTGTGTCTTTTAAAACCATGTTTCTTTAATTAAGCCTGAGTTATTCGTTAATGGGTTTGATCGGAGTCCATTCGACTCCGTTACGAACACAACATTTATAGTTAACAGAATCTTAAATGCTCGTAATTTTCCACACAAATAATGTTCACTAAAAGCCCATGTATTCAAATTAAGAAATTATCATTCCTTTCTTGCTACACATCAACAGAAAATTCTCAATTTAGAACATTTTATCACATTTAAATGAAGATATTAGCGACAAACATCACAATTTGCATTTAAACGCTTTATTAACATTGAGAGGAAATTCCGAAACGTTTTTGTACTTAGAAATGTGTGTTGAGGTGTAATTTCATAAGAAATTGACTGATAATTGGACTGAGTAATGTAGGCTATGATAGGATAACTTAGTGCGGCGGACGGCATGCTTCTTTATTCTATTCTAAGTTATCGAGTCGCTAGCGAGCGGCCGTGTATTAAACGAAATGAAATTATAATCCATATATGTAGATAACACCCGGGCGTGCAGGGGCATCGTGACATCACACCTGATATCCTATGCCCCGCAGTTTAAATGAAACCAGTCTCCGCGGTATCGATAAAATAATATAAAATAATTTTAATCGCATAAATGCGCATCACTAGTTAGTACAAGACCGCTCGCTTGGATTCGTACAAAAAATGTAGTGATAATCATAAACGACGATGAAGTGACTATTAGTAAGTAGATCTAAAACGTGTATCTAATTTGTAAATTTATTTATTTTCCATAGAGAAAGTGGTATTTTGTTAACGTTTTAGTTGATGTTTTTTTATTCTCTCGTCCCCTTTAGTTCCAACCTATGTAGATATGTAGGATGTCATACGCTTGTACTTTTAGTGAGCCAATAATTATTTGTATTATATTTTTAAGTCCGTTCGGAAACAATGTGAGCGCTATAAGCGGTTTTGTATAGTGTGTGATGAATGCAATCGCAAATATTGTTTCTGAATAGATGTACACGATTACATTCTTTTTAGTGATGTCCCTCGCATTCTAAATATGTGCGTAGATTTTGTAGCTCAAGGATCTTGAAAGTTGGTCAGCGAACATTATGGGTGCAGAATAAATGTATCCGCACGTTAACTTTAGAGGTCGTGGCGTGTACTCGTATATTCTATTCATAAATTATGCAAACAAGATTTCTCGCTTTCAGTTTTACTTTACAATTATCAGGCTATCCAATTAAAATTTCTCCTCGATACGATCGATTCAACGTGTTTGGGATATTGATATATCCGACCTAAGGAACATCACTAATTTCACCTAATTGTCTCTTACTGCGGATACTAGTGTTATACAGTCAATATGTTCGCTGCATTATTCCACTTCAAGGATTTTTTTGTGAATATATGCAGCAAGCTTTATGAATGTACCTACGTATGTTATACGAATGATATGATATTTTGAATTTATTTATATGTATGTACAATATTTAGGTGTCACATGAAAGCGACAGGGAATACGTACAAACGTAGCATTTACTCATCTGAAAATCATTTTATATAAAGTAATTATACCGTACCCATTCCTTGTTGTTTTCGTTCATGTCAAATATAAATTATTCGATTATTCGATTGTCGGGAAACGTTAAAATTGTCTCGTTATTGTAAATTAATACCAATCGATCTTTACATTAGTGTAGAAACAGTATTTCGGTATTGTAGAAATGGTTCTCCGTTACAGTATCTAGTTTTGTAGTTTTATATTGAATAGAGATTGTAAGAAACTCAGCAGACGTCAATTGGTATAATTATGCTCTGTTTATTCGTAATTTTATTGACATGCAAGCGAGCGATGGTGCGATGTTAACAAACTCAAGCTCGCTGCAACTACAATAAACAATTTATTATTCAAAAATCTATTGTTATGAATAACCCGTAAACATATTGGGAATTTATTCATAATCACGTAATAAAATATTTATTGTTCAGCTATTTAGCAAGGATCATGAGTTTGCATAACAGTGTGCCGGTGTAAAAATATGAGTGTTATTATATTTTAATGCCCATGTGCCATAATTTTAATGCCCCTGTGGGTTAGCCTACCGACTCATAAACAATAGTTTTCAGACAGTTACTCAATAAATTCAGTAGTTAAGAAATAAGGGAAACAAAAGCGCGGGAACGGCAGACATTTTGAAAATTTATTTATAACGATCATTAACGGTTTTTATTCAAATGTCTTCTACTTCTACCCGCAGAAATCCCTCATTTCGAAAAATGTATATTTAAGAAAGTCAAGAGGAGTGAAACAGTATTACTTAATTAATTTCGATACATTTTTACAATAATAATGACATAAAATGTTCGTGTTTACTTAGTGCATTTATATATGTACGATTAAAATTATGATTCTGATTTGTAAAAATTTCAATAATTTTTAGATGTTTATTCTAAAGTAGATGGTATTTAAATTTTTACCTACTTAGTTTTACCAAAAGAAAGATTGATCGAAACTTTTGGACAATAACTTTTTACAGCCTCTTATACCGACAAATAAATAAAATGATTCTATATTACAATGGGTTTTCTTTTTCTTAATATAATACGACATAAATTAACATGGAACATTAAAAAGAAATAAGGTTATTAAATTTTCTTAAAGCTTATTTTCAAATGGTGAACAAGTACACAAGAATACGTACTAACACTATTTCATCTTCAATGAGGACTCACCGTACTCTGCACCAGAACTAGCACTACGTAAGTAGGCGGTCAATCCTGGTATCCTCTAGTGATGCACATATCCATATGATGAAAAGCAAGGCGGTTTGAAGGTTGGCATCAAAGGTACCAGATGCCATTTCATATATTGACAACTGTTGTTTAATATTATTAGCACTAACTCGACTTTGGATGATGCGCGAAACGTAGCGCTGACCATACCGCGGTGCCAGAGCTATATGCCGGAAATTCGGTTCACACAAAAATCAGTGCGTAAAGCACTCTTTTTCCTCGACATTCATTAGTCGAGTGGGCCCATTGAAATCTTTTATATCGTGTTGAAGTCGTGTGCTCCGGAGTTAGCACCGCTTTTAACGCGCCTTTTTCGACTCTCCTACTCCCAAGGCCTCGTCCCGAACTCCTGGAAGGTAGCGTTTATGCACCCGATCCCAAAAAAAGGTGACCGCTCTGACCCGTCCAACTACAGGTCTATAGCCATAAATCCTTTGTTCTCTAAGTTTATGGAATCCATGATCAACAGCCAGCTCCTCCGGTACTTAGATGATCACCAGCGACTCAATGACCGCCAATATGGTTCCGCCGGGATCGCTCAGCTGGTGATCTTCTCGTCTTTTTAACCGGTGAGCACAGGCGATCGAGACCAATGGAGAGGCTTGTGCGGTTAGTTTGGATATAGCTAAGGCCTTCGATCGGGTGCTCTCTCTCTCGCAGCTCCCTTTCTATGGGCTTGCGGAGAAATTGTTTAATTGGATCAGAAAACAGAAACGTTAAGGTTGTTGTGGACGGAGCATGCTCCGACTTAAAATCCGTAAATGCTGCCGTAAACTGTTTCTGTTCCTTCTGCATATCAATTACATCTTGCAAAACAAGTAGCATCCATTGCTATTCAGATGATAGCACGGGAAATGCCCCTTACAACGGCCGCCCCAATATTTCTCGGGAAAACGTCATCGAGAGTCGAAACAAACTTGTGTCTCAAATTGAAACTTCCTCAGCGGCGGTTTCAGATTTGGGCTGACTGAATCTAGTCCACTTCAATCCAAAAAAGACACAGATCTACACGTTCACTGTCAAGAAGATACCATTTCTCGTATCACCTCGGTTAGAGAGCACCTCCCTAACTGCCTCAGCCAGTATCGGAATCATAGGCAACGACATATCGGGCGAAGTCCAGTTTCGGAGTCACTTAGAGGGTAAGGTCAAATTGGCCTCGAAGAAGCTTGGTGTGCTGAACAGATCGAGGCAGAATTCCACTCCGGCCCATCGCCTTCAGCTCTATAAGCCACAAGTCCGGCCGCATATGGAACGCTGTTCTTATATCTATGCAGGGGCACCCAATACCAGCTTCTCCCTCTTGACCGCATCCAACGAAGAGCGACTCGAATCCTCGATATCCCAAACATTCCCGATCGGCTGGATCCCTTGGCGTTACGTAGAGATGTGGCTTCACTCTGCATTCTATATCGCATATATC